AGAACGATTATTTCAGAAAATAAAGCTGGGTAGAGAACGTTTTCAGGAGTTCTTAAGTTGATTTTTAGGGAAAAGGATTCTTTTTCCTGGATATGAGTTTTAGACCAGTGATGTGTACAGAAAAAAATCACTGCTGGAGAACTGTAAGGAAAGACAGTGAGGACTTCAGTTTAAAGGTCTATGTGAACCTGGAATGGTAGTTTAAAGTGCTCCGCTGGCCAGGCTGATAGGCGTACTTGTTTAAAGTCTGAGACCTGAGAGTGAGAGCTGTGTGAACTCAAGTAGAAGACTTGTGGTCAAACCAGATGAGCAGGATGGAGTATTGGCTACTCACAGAAACTTCAGTCTTTGGGAAGCCTTATTTACAGCTTTACTTGGGAGGCCATTGTAGTAGACTACGGTTTCCAAAGTGGTCCACTCAATGTTGTCACTTTGGATGGTAAGGAACTAACTAGTACCATCTGTTTACATATATGGTATGTATGTAAAGCAATACATTTATTTATTCCTTTTTGTTTTTATTTTCTTTTGTAATCCACACTGGTTGAACCTTCTCAAACTTACTCTTACCCTAATCTCCTGCCACCACCTCCCGAGTGCTAGTGTGACACCACACCTGACTTGTTATCATTTTTTAATGTGCTCAGTTTAAATCTTAATTCTATTTATTTATTTATTTATTTATTTATTTATTTATTTATGAGAGCAAGTAGGACATATTTTAAGGATACAGTATACAGTACTACATGCATGTAACCTAAAATAAGTCCAGTTGGGCCTAGGGTTTCAAACACTTTATTGATGAGAATGTGTTAGGCAAACCAGATGGACTCGGTGCTTTGGTCAGAAGAGTCTGCATTGACAGCAAATGGCCTTGCTACAAGAATGCTGACTGCTCATGCTGCCACAGTGGGCCAGCTGCAGCCTGCTCGGCGTCAGTTTGACTCAGGACTTCAGCTGCTCTAACAGGAGAGAACCAGGTCACCCATGGGCTCACAGAATTTTTGCTACGATTGACACATAACTTCTGCTCACACTTTCATTGGCCAAAGCAAGTCTCAGGGCTCCACCTGGACAGTCCTTCCGCAGGAGGAAGCTGTGCGTGGGTCAGCAACAATGCAGTCTACACACATGTGCCTCTACTTCCCCGGTTATGGTGCTGATGCTGGGCGATCTAAAGTTCTTAATCCTCTTTCAGAATCTCCAGCAAGCCGTTTTCCTAGTTTCAGATTTGATGAATATCAAACCAAACCAAACCAAACCAAACCAACAACAAACTAAAACCATCCAGTCAAAATTCTTAGTTCTGTTAGGAAGGCAGCATGCAGAGATGCCGGCTGTGGGGTCTACCTCTAGGGCAAGAGCTGCAAGCAGTTAACATCTGCAGATAGACAGAGAGTTAGTCTTCCCTAGGGATAACCTTGCTGGGTGATTATCCAATACCAAGTGGCCAGCCCTAGGAATGTACATGCGGGCAACACTGGACAGACTCAGCAGGTTGTATTTATATGTTTATTCTTTTATATGTTTGTGTAACAACATGGTTAAAGAAGAGAGGCCCTGTAAATTTGAGGGTGAGGGTAGGGGAGGAACATGGGAGGGCTAGGAGGAAGGAGAGGAAGGGAGCAAATGATGTAATTCTATTTTAATTAAAATGAAAACCTCATATACTTTGGCTCTATTACTGTTCTTTTTTAATGGTTCCGCTCTATCATTTTTTACTTACAATTTCTGGTAGCAGAAAGCAGGAAGGCAAACTTAATCTTGTCTTGCTCTTTCAGAGGGCGAGTATGTTTTATGATTGCTGTAGGTAATCTCTTTAAGGAAAACTTGAGCAGATAAAACATGCTCACATTTCCCAGGAGAGAACAGGAGAAAAGACGATATGCAGGGTTATTTTAGAAATTTGAAATAATCAAGTTAATAGTAGTTTATACTAGCTAGTAAAGTTTCAGATAGTCACTTTGCATTTTTAGTGAGAATTTTTTTCTTAAATTTTAGTTGTAACTAAGTAGATAAATGAAAGTCTAGGGTATGGATGACAAATGGGTGGACTTAAATATTTTATTAGATTATTTTACTTTATATATTCAACTGTTTTGCCTGCATGTATGTTTCGTGTATGTAGAGGTCAAGAGAGATCATTGGGTCTATGGGAACTGGAATGATGGATGGTTGTGAGGCACCATGTGGGTGCTGGGAACCAAACCTGGGTCCTCTGCCAGAGCAGCATCTCCAGCTCCTGAGTGAACATTTTAATTCACTGAGGAAAATGTGATATTTATTCGTAACAGGAAATGACATGAATTAAATGTGTTTGATTACTTTGAAAGGGTGCATTATTACTTTTATCTTCTTTCGTATACTGGAGAGTGAACTTAGTGCCTTGGAGGTGCTGGGATGTTCCTGATTTCCTAAGTTCCAATAAGAAAGATTAGACAGCTTTCTTCCTTTTGGAGCATAGGTTTCAGTGAAAGGAAGTCTTATTCCACTCTTTAATCACTTTATCTGGTTACTTTTTAAAGTTCTAGAGTTCATTTTTAATTGTCTGGATTTTGTTTCTAAGGCAGCAGTCAGTCTGGACAAGTAAAGTCTCTTGTAACTGTAGCCTTGTTTCTTGAGGCCTCTGAACACTGATGTGCGCTTCCCTGGCGTTTTCTTTGTAAGCTAATATAGCTGCTAATATTAGAAGGTACTGTATTACACTATTAGTGGATCCTATGCACTGATGTGTCCAGAAGCTGCGTCTTATCAGGACAGGAGCCTTCTTGTGTGTTCACGTCTTTCTTGGTTGCTGTCACAAGCCGTTGTAAAAGAGCGGGCTGGTGCCCTTGTTCCTAACTTCAGTATGACAAGTTATTTTGGTGAACAACAGGCATCTAAGCAGTTGTTACTGTTCATAGTGGCGACATCAACGTGTATATTAAAATTTCAAATAAGCGTAGGAGAAAGTAGGATTTAAATTGGCTCTTCACTCTTGGTCAAGGGTTACAGTGCCAGGTATCAGTTTCCCCTGTCAGGAAGCTGCTGGTTACCTTTTTAACAATGATGCCACAGCTGTAGCACAGGCGTATACTGTCAGTCTGGTCTTTACTGTAGCTCCTGAAATTTGCAGTAAATGGATGGGACTGAAACACATTATACAAAGTGAGGTAACCCAGACACACAAAAACATGTTTTTTTGATTTGTGCGTCTAAATTTGGTATTTGTGGAAACCTGGCAAGTAGAAAGGGGCCATTGCAGGGGGAGGAAGAAGGAAACTGAAGGAAGTGGGTTCATAAGTGATGTGGAAAGGACAGGGAATGATAGGCAGAGGATTAGAGCGAGGGCAAAGCAGGAGGGGGGTGAGGGGAGAGAGAACTAACGCTAATTTAAATGGCTGAATAAAATTGCGTTAAAATCTCACATTTCCTGTATCCATTCATCAGTTGATGGACATCTGGCTGTTTCTGTTTCTAGCTTGTATGATCAGAGCAGTGATGACCATGGATGGACGTGTGTCTCTGGTAGGCTGTAGGCATATGCTCAGGTGTGTGCTCAGGGGCGGCCCAGCTGGATCGTAGGATAGTTCTGTGTCTCACTTTCTGAGTCCCCTCCACAGTGTGTACTCCTGCTTGGAATGAGTAGGCTTCCCCATGTCCTTGTCACCACTTGTTTTCTGAATCTTAGCACTGGAGAGGCTGGCGGAGAACAGCTGAGGGACGCCAGCCTGGGTCACACAGGAAGACACTGGCAAACAGACCAAGTACAGGTTAGAGCCTGGTGTTTGTTGCTTACTCATGACTGCTGGCTGCTGTGCCTTACCGTCTGAGGTGTGGGCTAGCACTGCGTGTGCTTCTGGAGAGGAGTGACGAGGGTGTCATGTGATGTAGTACTCTAAGTACTTCTGTACCGTATTCTTCTTCTTTCTAATTGGGAGAGATTTGCTTTCTCTTTTTAAAAGATTGAAAAAAAACTACGTGTATAGGTGTTTTGCCTGCACGTATGTCTGTGCACCACATTTGTGCAGTACCCGTGGAGGCCAGAAGAGGATGTCAGATCCCCTGGAACTGGAGTTACAGATGATTGCAAGACACCACATGGGTGCTAGGAAGTGAACCAGGTCCTCTGGGAGAGCAGTCAGTGCTCTTACTGCTGAGTCATCTCTGCAGCCCCATCGTCTTTGTGTACAGAAGTTCAGAATTTTATCTACTCAGTCCTGTCAGTCTTTCTATGAGGACACAATCAGCACATGATAATAAAATGCTAGTAATAAAGTTTCAAGTATTGTATGTGACTAAAAGTCTGAGAAATACGCTAACCATTCTTAACTTTAATAGATATTTTAATAAATAGCATAACTCTTGATTTGGTTAATGCTTACATTTAGTCTTTGTTTGTTTAAGTTAGTATCTCACTATGTAGATTAGCTTGGCCATGAACTCATGTCATGGTTCTCAGCCTCCCCAGGTCTGAGATGATAGACGTCACTATGCCTGGACTTATCCTGAACTTTTTTCTTTTCCTCCGATTATTGCACTTTCCTTCTCTATTATTTTTATTTTTAAAGGCTATTTTATGTAGCCCATGCTCATCTTAACCTCACTGGTCAACAAGAGTCACCTTCAATTTCTGATCCTCCTGCCTCCACCCCTGTGTGCTGGCATAGAAGCATGCCTTCATGCCTGGGTTCATGTATTGCTAGGGTCTGAACCCAGTCTCACCAAGTAAGCACACTACCAACTGAGCTACAACTATAGGCCCTTCGCTGCTGTTCTTCCTGTGAATCTCTTCAGATATTGACAGAAGGAAACCTGGGGAAATATTAAAGTTAAATTTTCTTCCATATTTTGCCTTCACTAGGGGTAATAATGATTTAGCAATCAATGAAAATGGCAAGATAATTAGTATATTAACATGTTTTTATTAAAGTGTGGAATAGTCTCTACAGTAGGAAACTGCTTTATTGGAACTGAGGAAATGTAAGTTTCGAGGCCTCATCAACTGTGTTTCCTCTTAGATAAGTGATGAAGAGAAGACTCTCCGAGAACAGGACATCGTTGCATCCTCGCCAAGCCTAAGTGGGGTTAAGTGGGAATCGGAGTCAGTTTATAAGGTATGTAAAGATTTACCAAAGTGTCACATTAGCTTTTCCTGCATTTTTAACTCACATCTATGTAGCCCCTCCCACTTCCTTGTGTGAAGAGATCTGGTTGTCACACTCAGGAAACCCCAGGCCATTGTGTTGAAGGAAAGCCTTCTGGGCATTGTTGGGCTCCTGCATATGGTGCGGGGCTGCCTCCCTCTTCTCTCTTTGGTCTAATACTCTTTAATACTCTCTGGTGCTTTGCCAGAAACTACTATACTGGCTGGATTTGTGTCAGTTTGACACAAGCTAGGGTCATCAGGCAGGAAGGAGCCTCAATTGAGAAAATGGCTCTGTGAGCTCCAGCTGTAAGGCATTTTCTTAGGGTTCAGTGGGGGAGGGCCCAGCCCATTGAGGGCGGTGCTATCCCTGGGCTGGTGGTCCTGGGTTCTATAAGAAAGCTGGCTGAGTAAGCCGTGGGGAGCAAGCTAGTAAGCCACACCCCTCCATGGCCCCTGCATCAGAGGAACCTCCAGGTTCCTGCCCTGCTTGAGTTTCTTTCTGTCCTGACTTCCTTTGGTGATGAACAACAGTGTGGAAGTGTAAGCCAAATAAACCCTTTCCTCCCCAGCTTGTATTTTGGTCATAGTGTTTTGTCTCAGTAGTAGAACCCTCCCTAAGACAACTCCCTAGGCAGTTCTTAGACACACTTTGGCTTATGGCTTTGTGTCATCTGGGCTCTGACACTGTGAGACTACTTGGCTTTCCTATGGGGACGCCTTCCTGAACCTAGGCCAGCTTCTGTGCTGGGCCACCTTGCTTTCCTCTGTCCTCTCAGCAGAGACCTTCTTTCTGTGAGCCTACCAGATAACTTGGGAATAAATAGTTGTGAAGGGGAAGAGGAAATCCGAAATAACTGAAAACTTGATAACTGCCTTTGGAAATGATGTATAGTCACAGCAAACTTGGAAGTACAACTTTTTTACTTACCTACTTACTTAATTTTATACACAGGCTCCCCTTCCCCCTTTATTCATTTTTTTATTTTTTATTTTTAGTTTTTGAGGCAGTGTCTCAGCAAGTTGACCAAGTTGGCCTTGCCCAGGCAGGATGTGAATTTGTGATCCTCCTGCCTCAGTCTCCTGAATAGCTGGAATTAAAGGCCTGGGTTCCCATGCCCAGGTTGAATGCTTGAATTCTTGCCTCCACATTAGCTCTCTGTACCTTTTTCTTTTTCTTCACATTGAGCTATCATCCAGCCTCCTTCCAAGCTTAGTGTATGAGGATCGGTCTTTGACTCACACCACACGTTTCCATTGTTGGACCATCACAGCTTCTATTGCTTCCGCTTGGGCGTTTTTGTTTGTCCTGTGGTCACAGTAAGCTGGAGGCCTAGACTATTACAGCAAAGGACACAGGAGGGTCATTTAGCTTCTCTTCCTTTCCTTTCTGAGGTTTACAGATTTGTCCTCTGAGGTTCAGAGGACTTTATTTCACTCACTAAATCACAAGCCAGTAGCAGACTAGAATAGATTCTAGGCTTGGACTAGAGCTTGCTTCCAGATGCAGCCCTCTGCTCTTGCCTGCATTGCGCTGACCCTTCTGCCCTGTGCCTCTGCTGGGTCTGGTGAGCCACCTGTTGCAAGCCACAGCACCCATGGCTCCCTGTGGAGCGCTTTGATGTTCCACAGGTGTTTCTTCCTGTCTTTAAATAAATTATTAACTCTTTGGGGACAAGGACTGTGTTGTTTGTAGTCATGGAAAGCAGTACCTTTGTCAAGAGCTTTCTAGTTAAAAGACATGTGATTGTAGGCTGGAGACATGCTCAGTGGATACGAACATATGTTATTCTACCAGAGGACCCAGGTTCGGTTCCCAGAACTCATATTTAGTAGCTCGCAACTGCCTGTAAGTTCAGCCCCTGGGGATCCAACACCCTGTCTAGACTCTAGACAGTGTACTAACATATGCTCATACCCACACACAAACACACGCATATAAACATCATTTTAAATAAAATAAAAATATTCCAATGACACATGATCTGTTCGGAGAGTGAGGTGTCGTCAGATGTACTACACTGCAGACGGATTTCAGTGTCTCCCAAGACTGGACGAGTAGACAGCGTGGGAAACTTTTCATTGAAGTTTTTGCTTCATTTTCAAAAGAATGAAAAAAAGATTTTTCAGAATAATGATTTTCACAGTCAACTAAGATCACATTATGTTTCTCTCTTAAGTGGTGGGACAATTCATAGGCCTTAATCTCTGTTTCATTTTAAAATAAATACTAAATGCTTCAGGCAGATAGTTAACACAAAACTGAAGGGTCATTATTTTCAATGTCTCGGTGTTGAGAGGCTTTTCAAATATGCTTCTCCAGTGGAGGAATAGAAACTTAGATGAGCAGATTTGGAATTGACTTCAATTACAAGTAATTTTTAGCACTGGATACTTTTTAAGGAAATTAGAAAAACACTATTTGACACAAAATTCTGAATCTGTCATGAGGTGATTATAACATGTTTAGAGACTTTGAAGTAGAAATTTGAAATTTTGGGGTTTATAATTCAGAAATTTGTAGGTTATAACAAAAAGAAAACATTCTTTTTTGGCTTTTTATTATTGTTGTCACTGTCTCTTAAAACATGTCCTCTAAAACATGTATTTATATACTGTTAATTCTTCCTAATGTGAGCTGCTGGGACTAATGGATTTTGACTGAACGTTTGAAGTCTCAGAACCATCTGACAATAGAGACTGATCTGTTTCTCTGTTTCACTCTGAACCCAGATCCCCTTTGCTGACGCTCTGGACCTTTTCAGAGGAAGGAAGGTCTATTTGGAAGATGGCCTTGCTTATGTGCCGCTTAAAGACATTGTGGCCATCATCCTGAACGAGTTCAGAGCTACGCTATCTAAGGCTTTGGCAGTAAGTGTTCCAGTTTATTTCTTTATTTGACATCATTATAAATCCCTGATGATTTTGTTTTGTGCTCATTTATGGAGTAAGTTAATTTAATTTAATTTTCGTAGTGACATTTTGATTGCCTGTGGTATTATGTTGTTAATTGTGGAATCCTAGGTTTTGATGTGTTAATCTCCACACATGGTTTTGTTATTGCTCTTCTAATAGCACTAAGGGGTAACTGACTAATTATGGCAGTGGCCTCTCTAGGTTAGTCATCAAATCATTTCTGTTTGGAGATGGATTTTATATGTGGTTCTTAAAAGCACTGTGGCCGTTGGTGGAAATAACCCCTAGGTTTCTATTGTGAATTGTGATGTTTTTATCAGCAGAGGGCATTGTAGAAGCAAGTTTGGGTTTTCTTATTTTGTAGTGTTGGAAGTTGAAACCTAGGGCCTTGTGCTTGCCAGGGAGGCATCTACAACTGAGCTGTGTGCCCGCAACCCTAGGAGAAAGTGTTTATATTTAAGTCCTAAAAACAGTGACAGGCTACTGCTGAGGAAGTAGCCCAGGATCACGTGACATTCGAAGAGCTGTGTTGAATAAGTGACAGTATGTTCAGTTTGTTGAAATCTTACTTCAGAGCAATAATACTTGGCTTTTAATCTAGGTCAGTTTTTTATGCTTTTTTGTTCTTCATGTGGAAGAGTACTTCAGAGTCAAAGGATAATCGTGAAGCTCTAATGACAGTTGTATAAGCGTGTGATAAATTTTCCCTTTAAGCCAAAATTGTAGTGTTTTCTGGTATAAATAATTTTTATTGTTAACTCTCTAGGGTCACTTAAGCATGTATCATTCAGTTCTATTAGCATTTGAGAAGGCTAAAATATTGACTATTTTTATTAGGTGGGGCAGTTTATGGAAACATGTAACTGTTTTTCCATGAAAATGTGCATGTGTGGGTATGTGGTGTTAATGATGGAACCGAGGGCCTTTATGTGCTAACACATGGTCTACTGCTGAATTATACTCTCCACTCTGAGTAGATAGTTAGCTGTTAATATTCTTTCTTCATCTGTAATTACCATCATGCGTTATAAACTTTTATTATGGTTGATATTCTTAAATTTGTAGCCGGAAGTTTTCCTGTGTCCCACCTGGTCCCGCAGCAGCTTGGTCCCAAGTAAACACACAGAGGCTTATATTAATTACAAACCATATGGCCTATGGCTTCAGCTTCTGGCTAGCTAACTCTTTCATCCTAACCCACTCCTATTAATCTACATGGTGCCACGTGGCCGTGGCGTTACTGGTCTGCTGGCATCTTGTTGCTCCTTCAGTGCAGCTGGCGTCTCTTCCTCGACACCTTTCTTCTCTCTGCATCTCTGCTTGGATTTCCTGCCTGGCTGTAAGCTTTTTTTGCCATAGGTCAAAACAATTTTATTTATTATCCAATTGGAGCCACACATATTCACAGTATACAGAAAGACATCCCACAGCATAAATTGTTTGTTCATTTCTCTGTGATGTACTCTGTCCTACAATGTATTTATGAATAAGAATAGTGACTTCACCACTATGGACCTGTTTGTCTGTTGGTTGCCATTCTCTTTCTTTTGTGGCTCTTGTTTTTCGATCTGTCGATGTTTTGGACAGCACTTCTTTGTGTGAAATAGGTACATTCTTTTCACATTGACATTAGACAGCAGTGAATGCTGTCTACTAAATCCTGGTAGTGGCCCCTATTCTCCATAGTCACCAAAATCATTACCACGTTTCTGAAAGCTTTGGGGATGTGGGCACCAACCTTGAGGCAGGTGGGGCTCCTTCCTCAATTCTGTTTACAGAAAGTGTCCTGATACTTCCCTGCTTCAGAGGTTGGAGTACATACTATTTTTCACTCCAGCTCCCCAGTTGCTGGTCATAGAAATGGATCTGTGGTATCTTAAACAATAATAGAGTGTGTTAGTTCATAAATTCAAGAAGTCCAGAAGTTGTATGAGTGACACTAGTGTCCCCATTAGTGTTCCAGCTGTTTCTCTACAGTTGACTTTACCTGTGTGCACGTGCATATGCTTTGTCCTTGGTTTGGTTTTTCTCACAGTAGCAAAAGTGGGTCAACCATCATATCCCTGTAACGTACCATCCACACAAGCTTCTCTTTGTGTCCTTGAATTCTGTTCTTCATCTTAGTATTTATTATGCTTGAAATGGCTTAAAGGCATAAGTTGTATCACTTTCTTAGGGCCACTCTGTCAAAGTACAATAAACTGGAGGTCTCAGAAGAAGCATTCATTGTCTCCTGGTTACATAGGTTAGACATTTAGGATTGAGGTATGAGCAGGCCTGTTTTTCTCTGAACTGTTGGGAAAGGCCTTTCAGGTCTCTCTCCAAGTTATTGGCATTTGGTTTGTGACAGTATAACTGTAGTCTTCACATGGAACTATCCATATGTGTCCCAAATTTCTACTTTTTACAGTAATACCAGTTACATTGGATTAAGGCCCCTTGCTCTTGTATGTCTGTAGTAGCCTCATTTCCAAATACATTCACATTGTGAGGGAATATCAGTTATAGCTTCAACACATCCAAATGTGGGGGGCATTATTCAAACTGTATTGTATACCTAGCCAATTATCATGGCCACAAGGATTGCCTAGCCCAAGGCTGTGATTACAATGCTTTCTTTGGTGGTTCACGGGATCAAACTCTGCATGTTCCCAAATTGTAATATCCTCAACAGAAATGCAAGATCAATTGTGAAGAGTGAGCAGAGGAGAGGATACTTTGGAGGCAAGCCAAGAAACACTTTAGTGTTTCAGAGCTAATTCTGACTAGTGTTTTACAAGACTTAAACACACTTTAAAATCTTTTACCATTCATTTTATAAATTTGCCTTGAAGACAACTTTTGTGGGGAGCATTTGCTGACATTTGTCTTTCATACAGTTCAGAGTGTTACATGACTATTTGCTGTTTATCGTCCCGATAATACAATGGAAAGAAGATAATGGATAATACAATGGAAAGAAGACCACAGGGTAGATTTTTACAGAAGTTTACTTTTTCTCCCTATTCTCTGGGTAGAAGATGGAGAAATCTGACTCTAGGAGAGGAGAGGCAGAATTCTATGTGTTCCTAAGTTTGTGATCGGTACCTTTCCAGCGGATTGCGCCTAGCCTTGTCTCTTGGTGGCCCATGTAGCAGAGCATGGCGATGTGTCCTCTTTTCCCTCTGTTCATTCTTCCTACATGAAATTCTTCAAACATTTCAAATGATCACCACCTTATAGGAAAACATGTTTAAAACAGCAGCTGTCTGTAAATGGAGAATGAGACCCTAACCTGGTGTCTTGTGACTTCTGCACCTTTCGGTGTGAGTCCTACCAGGAGCACATTCTTCCACATGGGCACAGTTCAGCAGTCACTGTCCCATCGTTTATTTCAAGAGTCCGAACCCAAGTCCCTTATGCTCTTAGTTGTCGCCTGTAGCCTCCCCGGGACTGGACCCATTCTTACTTTCTCCTTAACTTTTCATGGACCTTTTTACTTTTGAATGTTACAGAGTAGACATTGTATAGAAGAGTTCTCAGTTTGGCTTTGTTTAGTGTTTCTGTATGGTTAAGTTCAAGATATGTATTAAACAAAAATGTCACAGAGATGGTAGGTACTGCATTCTGCCAGGACATGATTCATCCTTATTCTGAGGCCTTTATCAAAATGTATCACTATTGGTAACTGTATTGTTCCCTGTTGTGGTGGATTTGGTTATGAATACTGCTGTTCTGACATGCTCTGGTATCTTTGGCAACCATTTCTGATGGCTCTATGCCTTGGAGTAGACTTGTGGAGTTTATTTTTAGTGGATTCACATTTACTTGACATAGATATGTTCCAATTACTGGTGGATTGTGCAGTGTCTTGGATTCAGTGGAGGAAGGAGTTGCTGTTTTAGACAACACCAGGTATTCTTCCACACATCTGGGTCAGGTCTGGTTGAGAGGAGCTATAGACAGCCCTTTGCAGGAAGGTGGGTGAGATGTTGTCTTAGTTAGGTTTTTATTGCTGTGAAGAGACACCATGACCACAGCAACTCTTATAAAGGAAAACATTTAATTGGAGCTGGCTGACAGTTTCAGAGGTTTAGTCCATTATTGTCATGGCGGGAAGCATGGCAGCATGCAGGCAGACATGGTGCTGGAGAAGGAGCTGAGAGTTTTACATCTTGACCCACAAGAGGAGACTGTGTGCCATAGTGGGTGTAGTAGCTTGAGCATATGAGACCTCAAAGCCTGCCTCCACAGTGATACAATTACTTCAACAAGGCCACAGCTCCTAATACTGCCACTGCCTATGGACCAAGCATTCAAATGAATAAACCTATGGGGCCCATTTCTATTCAAACCACCACATATGTACTCCATAGGAACCTGTCCTAACTTCTGTGGAAGGGAAAGACAAGGGGGCTGCCTTCTAGATCCTCTGGTGAGACAGCTATATGAACCTGCAGCTGTGGTCTCATTTGATTATCCTCTCTAATGAAGATGCTTTGGCCTTGAAGTATGTTAACTAAAAAAAAAAAAAAAAAAAAAAAAAAAAGCCGGGCGGTGGTGGCGCACGCCTTTAATCCCAGCACTCGGGAGGCAGAGCCAGGCGGATCTCTGTGAGTTCGAGGCCAGTCTGGGCTACCAAGTGAGTTCCAGGAAAGGCGCAAAGCTACACAGAGAAACCTTGTCTCGAAAAACCAAAAAAAAAAAAAAAACAACAAAAAAAAAACCAAAAAAACAACTCAGCTTTATAAGTGGAAATGTAGGATGGTAAAAAAGTACCCTAAAGTGGTTGTGAAAAGGCATTTAAATCTGTGGTCCAGGGTGACATAAATGGCTCTGAGGGAGTTGTAAATTGACAGATGTCTTGTCCAGATGATAGCGGGAAGCTTGTTTTGAACTTGTGGCCCTGTGATTTTTGTAATAAAGCTTATCTACCTTTTGGGTGTTCTTGAGGACTGTAATAGGGTAGACATTAC